TACAATTTATGCTCTAGGGTAGTATTTATAAAATTAATGTTAGTAGCTTAAAAACAAACGTGGAAAAAGTAAAACCCTAATTCTAATCAACTATAAAAGAATGAGATTTTTTTATTATTTTATAAATAATTTAAAATAAAAATGAAAAAAATAATACAATTTATGCTCTAGGGTAGTATTTATAAAATTAATGTTAATAGCTTAAAAACAACGTGGAAAAAGTAAAACCCTAATCCTAATCAACTATAAAAGAATGAGATTTTTTTTATTATTTTATAAATAATTTAAAATAAAAATTAAAAAAATAATACAATTTATGCTCTAGGATAGTATTTATAAAATTAATGTTAGTAGCTTAAAAACAACGTGGAAAAAGTAAAACCCTAATCCTAATCAACTATAAAAGAATGAGATTTTTTTATTATTTTATAAATAATTTAAAATAAAAATGAAAAAAATAATACAATTTATGCTCTAGGGTAGTATTTATAAAATTAATGTTAGTAGCTTAAAAACAACGTGGAAAAAGTAAAACCCTAATCCTAATCAACTATAAAAGAATGAGATTTTTATTTTATTTTATAAATAATTTAAAATAAAAATGAAAAAAATAATACAATTTATGCTCTAGGGTAGTATTTATAAAATTAATGTTAGTAGCTTAAAAACAACGTGGAAAGAGTAAAACCCTAATCCTAATCAACTATAAAAGAATGTGTTTTTTTTTTATTATTTTATAAATAATTTAAAATAAAAATTAAAAAAATAATACAATTTATGCTCTAGGATAGTATTTATAAAATTAATGTTAGTAGCTTAAAAACAACGTGGAAAAAGTAAAACCTTAATCCTAATCAACTATAAAAGAATGAGATTTTTTTATTATTTTATAAATAATTTAAAATAAAAATGAAAAAAATAATACAATTTATGCTCTAGGGTAGTATTTATAAAATTAATGTTAGTAGCTTAAAAACAACGTGAAAAAAGTAAAACCCTAATCCTAATCAACTATAAGAGAATGAGATTTTTTTTATTATTTTATAAATAATTTAAAACAAAAATGAAAAAAATAATACAATTTATGCTCTAGGGTAGTATTTATAAAATTAATGTTAGTAGCTTAAAAACAACGTGGAAAAAGTAAAACCCTAATCCTAATCAACTATAAAAGAATGAGATTTTTTTATTATTTTATAAATAATTTAAAATAAAAATGAAAAAAATAATACAATTTATCCTCTAGGGTAGTATTTATAAAATTAATGTTAGTAGCTTAAAAACAACGTGGAAAGAGTAAAACCCTAATCCTAATCAACTATAAAAGAATGAGATTTTTTTTATTATTTTATAAATAATTTAAAATAAAAATTAAAAAAATAATACAATTTATGCTCTAGGGTAGTATTTATAAAATTAATGTTAGTAGCTTAAAAACAACGTGGAAAAAGTAAAACCCTAATCCTAATCAACTATAAAAGAATGAGATTTTTTTATTATTTTATAAATAATTTAAAATAAAAATTTAAAAAATAATACAATTTATGCTCTAGGTAGTATTTATAAAATTAATGTTAGTAGCTTAAAAACAACGCGGAAAAAGTAAAACCCTAATCCTAATCAACTATAAAAGAATGAGATTTTTTTATTATTTTATAAATAATTTAAAATAAAAATTAAAAAATAATACAATTTATGCTCTAGGGTAGTATTTATAAAATTAATGTTAGTAGCTTAAAAACAACCTGGAAAAAGTAAAACCCTAATCCTTAATCAATTATAAAAGAATGAGATTTATTTATTATTTTATAAATAATTTAAAATAAAAATGAAAAAAATAATATAATTTATGCTCTAGGGTAGTATTTATAAAATTAATGTTAGTAGCTTAAAAACAACGTGGAAAAAGTAAAACCCTAATCCTAATCAACTATAAAAGAATGAGATTTTTTTATTATTTTATAAATAATTTAAAATAAAAATGAAAAAAATAATACAATTTATGCTCTAGGGTAGTATTTATAAAATTAATGTTAGTAGCTTAAAAACAACGTGGAAAGAGTAAAACCCTAATCCTAATCAACTATAAAAGAATGTGATTTTTTTTATTATTTTATAAATAATTTAAAATAAAAATTAAAAAAATAATACAATTTATGCTCTAGGGTAGTATTTATAAAATTAATGTTAGTAGCTTAAAAACAACGTGGAAAAAGTAAAACCTTAATCCTAATCAACTATAAAAGAATGAGATTTTTTTATTATTTTATAAATAATTTAAAATAAAAATGAAAAAAATAATACAATTTATGCTCTAGGGTAGTATTTATAAAATTAATGTTAGTAGCTTAAAAACAACGTGGAAAAAGTAAAACCCTAATCCTAATCAACTATAAGAGAATGAGATTTTTTTTTTTATTTTATAAATAATTTAAAATAAAAATGAAAAAAATAATACAATTTATGCTCTAGGGTAGTATTTATAAAATTAATGTTAGTAGCTTAAAAACAACGTGGAAAAAGTAAAACCCTAATCCTAATCAACTATAAAAGAATGAGATTTTTTTATTATTTTATAAATAATTTAAAATAAAAATGAAAAAAATAATACAATTTATCCTCTAGGGTAGTATTTATAAAATTAATGTTAGTAGCTTAAAAACAACGTGGAAAGAGTAAAACCCTAATCCTAATCAACTATAAAAGAATGAGATTTTTTTTATTATTTTATAAATAATTTAAAATAAAAATTAAAAAAATAATACAATTTATGCTCTAGGGTAGTATTTATAAAATTAATGTTAGTAGCTTAAAAACAACGTGGAAAAAGTAAAACCCTAATCCTAATCAACTATAAAAGAATGAGATTTTTTTATTATTTTATAAATAATTTAAAATAAAAATTAAAAAAATAATACAATTTATGCTCTAGGTAGTATTTATAAAATTAATGTTAGTAGCTTAAAAACAACGCGGAAAAAGTAAAACCATAATCCTAATCAACTATAAAAGAATGAGATTTTTTTATTATTTTATAAATAATTTAAAATAAAAATTAAAAAATAATACAATTTATGCTCTAGGGTAGTATTTATAAAATTAATGTTAGTAGCTTAAAAACAACTTGGAAAAAGTAAAACCCTAATCCTAAGAGCACCTCTAATAGTGCAATCCATTTTTGGGTTCTTTGTGGGACCCACCCTTTTAAAGCAACTCATTCAATTTTTACTTCAATGGTGCAACTTCAAAGAACCCATATTGTGTCCCACCACTTTATTTAAAATATATTATTTATATTAAATTTATTTTATTTAAAATTATAATTTAAATATTTAAATTTTAATTAATATAAATACAAATTAAATATAAAATTAAAATTAAACATAAAATTAAAAATAATAATTAAAATTAAATTTAAATACATGTCACATAATTAAAAACAATAAAAATAAATAACATCACATAATTAAAAACAATAAAAATAAATAACATCACATAAACAAATGTAATTTGAAATAAAAAGATGAAAATTTGGCATAAACAAATGTAATTTGAAATAAAAAGATGAAAATTTGAAATAAAATGATAATGAGAAGAAATTGTTGGAAAAAAATTAAATATTTATGAATAAAATGATGAAATTGTGAGAGAGAAATTTGAAATTAAAGAGCAAATAAAAAGGAGAGAAAATAGGAATAAAAAGGAGAGAAAATAGGAATGATATAAATTTTTTCCAACAAACCTATATTTATAATAAATAAAAAAGTTAAAAAAATAAAATAAAGCTAAATGATTATTTTAATAATAAACTAAATGAAAAACCGTTGCTTATGTTTGTAACGTTCTACAGCTGGAATAACATTTTGTTGACATTTTCAATGCCAAGCTGGCCAACCAATTTGAAAAACCACCGTTGGAGTTGGTCTAATCAATTATAAAAGAATGAGATTTATTTATTATTTTATAAATAATTTAAAATAAAAATGAAAAAAATAATACAATTTATGCTCTAGGGTAGTATTTATAAAATTAATGTTAGTAGCTTAAAAACAACGTGGAAATAGTAAAACCCTAATCCTAATCAACTATAAAAGAATGAGATTTTTTTATTATTTTATAAATAATTTAAAATAAAAATTAAAAAAATAATACAATTTATGCTCTAGGGTAGTATTTATAAAATTAATGTTAGTAGCTTAAAAACAACGCGGAAAAAGTAAAACCCTAATCCTAATCAACTATAAAAGAATAAGATTTTTTTATTATTTTATAAATAATTTAAAATAAAAATTAAAAAAATAATACAATTTATGCTCTAGGTAGTATTTATAAAATTAATGTTAGTAGCTTAAAAACAACGTGGAAAAAGTAAAACCCTAATCCTAATCAACTATAAAAGAATGAGATTTTTTTATTATTTTATAAATAATTTAAAATAAAAATTAAAAAATAATACAATTTATGCTCTAGGATAGTATTTATAAAATTAATGTTAATAGCTTAAAAACAACCTGGAAAAAGTAAAACCCTAATCCTAATCAATTATAAAAGAATGAGATTTTTTTATTATTTTATAAATAATTTAAAATAAAAATGAAAAAAATAATACAATTTATGCTCTAGGTAGTATTTATAAAATTAATGTTAGTAGCTTAAAAACAAAGTGGAAAAAGTAAATCCCTAATCCTAATCAACTATAAAAGAAAGAGATTTCGGCCTATGTGCCTTAACCTTCTTCTAGTTTCTTTTTCCTAAGAATTGTATTTCATTCATAAGAAAAAAAAATTAAAAAAGGGCAGTTGTCTTGCCAACTCGCCGGGTACAGTCTTACGACTCACGCCTATTAGGAACCAACCAGCGAAGCCACTACACCGTATTGCTCTCACCAGAATCTCACTTTTTCTCAAAATTCTCTCTCGTTTTTCCGAGAAATTTCATGCGCCCAAATTTTTAAACTGAAACTAGTGTTCATATCTTGTCTGATACGTTCAATCAAATCGATGAGACCAATTAAACTTCCTGAACCGCCGAGTCCCACCGCCCATAGAGGTACTCCTGATATCTTTGAATCTGGAGTTCATACCTTCGTCAGACGCGCCGTCGTTATCGGAAACGGTTTCGCCGCCTCCGAAAATCAGAGTATCGGATTGGTTCGCGCACTTGGCTTCTCTGATAACTATTTCTTATATGTAAGCATATAATAACCTCTCTCTTCTTTATTGTTTCATTATAGTTACTTTGTGAAACTAGTTTTGAACTTAATTGCATGATTATTACTAGGTTTGGACTTAATTGTATTATTATTATTATAGTAAGTGAGATTTGCAATATAGAAATCGGAATATGAAAACCTAGATGGGGAATTTGGTCATACAATTGCAAATTATTATGGAGTGTTGTAGTTAGACGATAATTGTAAGACTGAATTTTGCCAATTTAGAAATTTAGAAAATGTAAAATGAGGAAATAACTCCGTAGCACCGCCACCTCTGACAAAAATGTGTCCGTGTTGGTCTCGGTGTCAAAATCTCGGTGTTAGCTTTTGGATGTGTTCTGTTAGTACATTTAAAATTAAAGTAAAAAGGTAGAGGCTTAGGGTTAAACCTTGATACAAACCTATTGTAATGGGAAAATCCTCTTTCTCTCTACCTTGGTCCACACAGTAGTCGATATCCCTTCATAAATATCTTGGTTGCTCGAATATATGCAATCCAAACCCTTTCTTCTGTAGGACTTTCCACAAAAAATCTCTGCTTTCTCTAAATCTTACATTTTGACATTTGATTGGGAAAAATGCATTTGTGACATATTTACAAGGAAGATAATAAGTTTTTCTTATGGACAGGACAAGAGACCTATTTGTCAGTTTGAAGAAATAGCTGATATACTTGGCAGTTTTTGGAGAATCTGTGATGAAAACTGCAACACTACCAGTTTCCATTAGGGAAATATTGGTAATTCCAGTTTCTGCCATAACAGTTGTAGTGGCAATAACAGAAAAAAAAAAATAATTTTAGGCTTTTTCATCTTTGGTTTGAAAAATAAAACTGAAGATGCATGTTGGACTGCACATGACATATTTTTAGAATAGAAAACTGTTAAGTATTATTCTATGACCAACAGGGACTATAAATCTCTTAATTCATCTTTTTTAAGAGACAGCATGCGAGGTTTTGCACATGACCTATTTTCAAACCTCTCAATTCACTTTTTTTAAATGAAAATTATGCAACTTTTACTTGTATGCAGCAATGCTTTTTTATATTCTCTTGGAACACTATATGCTATTTCACATAGCAGATTTCCTATTATCTCTTATCTATAATTATGATACGTGTCCAAGCTTTTTCTTATGATCACTTCATAGCCAAATAAGTTTGCTCATCATTTCATTATTGTAACAGCGGGTTACCAGACCTAAAGGAGGAGTTAATGAGTGGCTTCATTGGCTTCCAGTCTCCCTTCATAAGAAAATATATTATATTATAAGAATGGTTGGCGTTTATTCACACCTACTGTTGAGATCTCAACAAAAGAAGCTCATACCTTCAGAAAATGGTGTCAGTGACGGCTTGTTAGGTGTCTTAGAAGCCGATACAAAGCAGATAGTAAATTTCGCTCTGGAAACTTATGAGAAGTAAATTCTTTTCCTTTTCTTTTATCTGCAAAACTGAATTAAGCTGTAATTATGTGTATGGCTTGGCTGCATACTTCGATTTTTTTATGAAGACAGATTCAAATATCTGCGTTGCTTACCATTAATTATCTTCGGAATGATGAATTTCTTTTTACCACTACCAGTTCCTTGACAATTTATTTCTTGTGTAATTAATTTATACTACTAAGACAACTGCTGCTCAAGACTTCCAGTTAGTTTATGCTAGACACTTGTGCTGAACTGAAACTTAATTTTTTGACTAGTTAGTTGAGTTACTGCACAAATTCAGTCAGTATTCTAAATCTCATAGCATTATAATATTTATGCTGATTCACATTCTAGTACATTTTGTAACCTGTATTCTCATCCTTGTAATATGTCCAGGGAGGGACCTTTGTTGGTGGTTGCATGTGGAAGAGATACCATTTCTACTGCAAGTTCTATAAAAAGATTAGCATCTGAGAATGTTTTTGCCGTTCAGGTCTGAAGATTTAATATGTGTTTTTCTTTTATCCACCTCTGCTCTTATATTTTGTAAATTAATCAATGTTTTAGGGCACTCATAAAAATTTAGGACAACAATTTACTGGTAAAGCGAAGGTGCTTAAAATGTATGACTGAAGTCAAAAGAAAAATTTACCACACAACCATAGATCTGCATTCTATGTTGTATGAAACTGATTGTATGGGATTAGGAATGATCTGTCTGTAGATATGATCCGTGATAGTGCATAGTGCATTATGGTATTGTTTGATTCATGAATATAATTCATATTCATATGATTCAGTTCCAATAACGCTATATAATTTGGTTTTAGTTTTGATGAAAACTGAGGTGAAATTAAAAATAAGCTTAATGCCTACAAATTCACCTAGAATAAAATTTAACTGGTGATTAACAAAAGTGGGGGGTTGTGAATGCATTCCAGAACACTAGGAGTAACAAATGACTTGGTGGAGTAGGAATTCTCCATGTCCACTTTCAATATTTAAGGCAGTTAATTTACAAATGCTTGACATGATGTTGTTAGGAAATTAAGGGAATTGTTTGCTACTTGTATCTTTTACTTTATTTTCTTTAAGTTTGATAATGATCAGATTCAAGGTTTAAGTTGCAGTTCTGCTCCTGCTTGTGTTTGTATTATATTGCTGGCTGATACGGGCTGATTATGCAGTCTGCACTTAAAAGCCTTGTTAATGTCATGCCTAAATTGTCTGAGTTTTAGTGTGAATTTCTCAAGTTCAAGAGGACAAGCACATGCTTGTCCTAGACTTAATTAGTCATGAATCAAATCAGCATTAAATGATAGATGTTTTCTCTTTAATTCCAAAATTTAATAAAACTTACATATGTGCTCTTTTTTAATAAACGTTGGAGTATCTGTTTTCTGTTTTAAATTTCATTGTTAATTTGATGCTGTGTTATTGCACCAATGTATTTGCTCTGACCTTTAGTACTACCTAAAATATAGGCTCTGATTTTAATCTTATATTTCATTGTTCATGTCTAATGGCCAGATACAACATCCAAGACTGCATTTGAATAGGTTCGACATGGTGATTACACCTAAGCATGACTATTATCCTCTGACTCCACAAGGACAAGAGCAAGTTCCCCGGCTTATTCGAAGTTGGATAACTCCACGTGATCCTCCGGGTAGTCATGTGGTATGTATAATGTGCATATGATATGACTATAATAGCTTGTTGCTTTGATGGAGAAACTATGATTCTACTTTACCTTGGCCCCTGTTTAATTGCTAAGACTGTGCTATGTACACTCAGGTTCTCACAACTGGAGCCTTACATCAAATAGATTTCACTTCAATACGTAGTGCTGCTGCTACTTGGCATGATGAATTTGCACATGTTCGCAGGCCCTTGCTCGCCGTTAACATTGGAGGACCAACAAGTAATTTCCATTTTTGAATTTGATCCTTCGATATGTAGTAAAACTTGGAGGAAAAGGATTTAAGCTTCATAACCACAGTGGCCAATATTTTTTTATTATTTGACTAATTTCCATAATTGATTTAGGGAACTGTAGATATGGTGGAGACCTTGCAAAGCAGTTAGTAGCCTCTTTGCTCAGTGTTCTTATTAGTTGTGGGAGTGTTAGAATATCCTTTACAGAGAAGACTCCTCAAAAAGTATGGTTAATCCTTATGTTTCCCAAAGTATTATCACCCAGCCACACTTTAATTTTCTACTCACTTTTTCTTCCTTCTCTACGGTCTTCTTTTAAACAGGTGGCCAACATTATAATGAAAGAACTTGGAAATAATCCAAAAGTTTACATTTGGGACGGGCAAGGTAAAAATTTACTTAGGTTTCAAGTAGATCTTCTACTCGAACATTTAATTTTTTAAAAAGATATTAAGTGGTTAACCTGACAATAACATACCACTTTCAGGACCTAACCCACACAAGGGCCATCTAGCTTGGGCTGATGCATTTGTTGTCACGGCTGATTCAGTCAGTATGATAAGTGAAGTTTGCAGCACTGGGTATGCTTGTGAATAAGTATTTCTATAATCAACACAAATTTTATATACTTTCTCTTGGTACAAGTATTTGATATTATGTTAATAAATTATTTTGATTGTTCCACAGAAAGCCCGTTTATGTTGTGGGGTCTGAGCGTTGTAAATGGAAGTTTGCCGAATTTCACAAATCATTGAGAGAGCGGGGAGTTGTTCGGGCTTTTACAGGTTCTGAGGATGTAAGTAAAACACTATATGACCTTATTCCATGCAAGGATTAAATATTATTGTAGAAGGATGCCTTTCTGGAATTTTATATACCGTCAAGTATGTATATTTTATAATGGATGTATGTTTTCTTAATTTCCAGATATCGGAGAGTTGGAGCTATCCACCCCTTAACGATACTGCTGATGCAGCTAACCGAGTTCGTGAAGCGCTTGCTGCCCGAGGGTGGAAGCTGAAGATATAAAATGCAATTTGAGATTTATTTTACTTTTCATCAAATTTATTTTTGTGATTCCCATTCATTGTTTGAACATAATCCCAACGGAAATTCCACAAACATGAAATACAAGTGATATATTTAATCCTTTTCACCAAAGCAATTTTTGAAAATGTATTGTGTATAATATAAGTTTAGTCACATGATTTTGGCATTTGAAAGAATGAGGTAAATAAAACAAATATATGTTGAAGAACAAATAAATGAGATGTAGACTCTACATTATTGTCACATCCATTTTGATGAAATTGTATGCATTATAATTTAAAAGGTTAATAAGAATTTTATCCCATGTGATATAGGTGAGTTTTGAAAAAATCCCTGTAAAAATAAGAATTCGTCCCATGTCACACGAAGATCTTGTGTTGTCCTCTCAAAAAAGAGGGTTGACTAGAATATATAGGACAATTTCTATTGCTAAGTACTATTTGTATGATTCATTGTCAGCAGCATTTCTATTGAAAGAACTATTTGTATGATTCAATGAGACAATTTCTTATGCAAGGTACTATTTGTATGATTCATTACAAAAACTTTTTTTAAACATGTGTTTTGATAGAAAGGCTTTATTTTGATACATTTGGTTCCCGCCACGGAACCAATTTCTATTGCACCATGTAGGATGTACCTAATTGAATCAAAGGATTTGAAAATTCAGTTGGAAGACTTATTAGAAAATGAGAATGGTGGTACGAGAATGTGAGGATGTGTATTGATGACTTCCTCAATTAGTTGAAGAGGCCATAGTATTCTCAAAGATAGACATGTGCTCTAGATATATCAAATTTGAGTAAAGAGTTCCGATATATCAATTACTATTTTTAGGACTTAATATGGACACTACGAATTTCTTATAATGTCATTTGGAGTCACTAACGCCCCAACTATCATTATTGACTACATGAATCGTGTATACTATTATATAATTTTACAACGTGTTCAATACTTTTTCACTTTAAAACTGAAATTAAATGGGTTGCAAGGAGTGGATGCCACAAGTTTATATCCAATAATGGAGGTGAGGAATGAAAGACCAACTCGTACAAAGGACTTAAAAACCTAAAAGAGTTTTCCATTGGACTGTCAGATTTTCAAGTCACAAAATTAGGGACCTCTATCTCTAAAGCAGAGAGAGGGGAATGTTGATCTATTCAAATGGACGCCCACCGACATGTTAGGAATAAATGCTTCACCATTGATTCTACCATGAAGTGAGTATCTCAGAGAAAGCGCAAAATGGGTGATGAGAAGCAAATAACTATTAATGAAGAGGTCGAGAAATTGAAAAGTGCATACTTTATATATGGAATTAAGTATTTGACTGGGCCGGCTAACACGGTCTTGATGCGTAAGTTGTCGAACAAGTGGCACATGTGCATTGATTTCACTAACATGTTGACCAACTGACTAATGGATCCTTCTGCAACAAAACCTTGAGTTTCATGGACGCTTACTCAGGGTACAATTAAATAAAGACATACCATGTGGACGACCTAAAAACGTAATTCATGTCCAACCATGGCAATTATTAATGCAATACCATGTCTTTTAGATTGAAGAATGCAAGACGCTTAGCCTCCGTAGTCCATTTTCTTTTTTATGCAAGTGATAAGGCGTTTCATTTCTTTGCCACATTGAAGAGGAAAGATAAACTCGAATGAACGTGCGAGTGCAAAGAGGCATTCACCAATTTGAACGTCTTTCTGGCGACACCACCCGCACATCCCTTTATTTATATCTATCAGTTATTGATCAGGTTATGAGCTATGTGCTTGTCCAAGAGTAAAACAAAATTGAACAACTCAGCTATTTCGTGAGTAAAGTGTTCAAAGGGGCTGAGGCTACGTACTAGAAGATCGAGATATTAGACTTGACGGTCACGATAATTGTGAGGAAGCTCATACCATACTTCTAAAGGCATCGTGTTATGAGAAAGACCAACTGACCCATTCGTAAGGTTTTGAAGAAGTCGGACTTCACAGGAAGGATGATGTCCTGGTCTTTGGAGTTATTTGATTATGATATCCAGTATATACCCAGACGAAGCATCAAATCACAAGTGCTAACCGACTTTCTATAAGAGTTAAGTTCGCCAACAAGCTATGAGATTCCCCATATATGGATATTATATGTAGACGATACATTGAATTTAAAAGGAAGTGGCGCTAGAATAATGATAGATGAAGCATACAATCTCTTGATAGAGCATACTTTAAAGTTTGAGTTTAAAGCTAGCAACAATCTAACAGAGTATGAAGCTCTTATCATCAGGATTTGCCTCACCCTAGAAATTGATGCTTCAAACCTTAAGGCCAGAAGTGACTCATAGTTGACGGTGAATCAGGTCGCCAGGGAGTATCAGGTGAAGGAGACTCAACTGATCAAATATATGAATAAGGTACATGAATTGCCAAAATGTTTCAAAACTTTTCAGATAACATATGTGCATAGGTGTCGCTACCGCGAAAATAAGGTGCCGGCAAAACAGAAGAGTCGCCACCTTTCGTTATTTATCCCACAGAAAGAGAAAAGAAACGATCGAGAAAACCTGACGAAAAGGTATAAGGCAAGGTCATCGCAACCAATGTCCGGATTCGGAAGTCGGTTACGCAAGGGGAAGGTATTAGCACCCCTCACGTCCATCGTACTCGATGGGATCCACGCTTGTTGTGTTTATCTGATGGGTTGGTTATATCTATCTACGCTGAAAGTCTGGTCTGAAAAGAAAAGAAAATGACTCGGCAGAACACAACATTTCTATGCCTACGTATTCCCGTCTGGAACGAGAAATCAGAGTCAACAGAGTTCGCCTAACTACAGGTTACGGGGGAAGGTTGCTCGCCAAGACATCGCGTCTTGTGCCTACGTACTTTCACACGGCGCGAAAGATCAGATCAAACGTAGTTCGGGATAATACGGATTACGGGAATTCAGATTCATCTGTTTTTTCGAGTAGGGTTAACAAATAGCTCCAGCAGTTTGGTGTACGCAGCTCGACCCTGGTAGACTTAGGTGTTACCGTTTGCGGTAGAACTGGGGGTTAACGACACTCTTTTCTTCAAAAAAAGCTTCCTTTGAATTATGGGCCCACAGGGCAAAAAGATTTGAAGTTTGTTTTCTGTCTTTTACGGAAGAACTGTTTTTTATGGTTGTCTGTAGTTTGTACAACACTAGAGACTATGACTTAGGAGCGAATGCGTCATATAGCGGCCAAAGGACATATACTAAACACCCTAGACGATTGAGAGGAGACCGCTCAATCATCACTTCCCAAGTAGCTTAAGGCTCGTGATGCGCTTATACTAACTTGCCTTTATTACTTTTTTTTACTGTTGTTTTGAGAAGGGAAGAGAACAAACTCTACGGGGAAACTGTCAAGTCCTAATGTTGTCATGCCAAGGATTCATCCTATGGTTGAGGTTTGAAACAGGGAACTCCTAGAAGTTATCATGCATAGGTTTCAACCTAAGGTTCTAATCATCACTTCCTTATCAAAGGAAGTGAGATTCCTAGGGGATCATATTAATGGGATACAGAAACAGATAAAGCATCAGCTCAAACATCAGTAAACAGATAAAAACAGTAAAGATGCACATGCAATGCAACAATACAAGCAGAGGGAGACTCACTCAACCTCTCAGCAATCAAGCAAAGAAAAATAGTCAAAACAGACAAGCAGAGGGAGCTCACTCAACCTCTATTATGCAAATACGTCAATTAGGAAAAAGAAAAACAACACACAAGCAAGGGGAGGATCACCTCAACCCTTAAGGCAAACAAGTAGAGGGAGACTCACTCAACCTCTTAATGCAGTCATGCACCTATGCTTAAACTATCCTAAACATGCACTATCCTAATGCAACACACCAATAAAACATGAATGAGGAAAATGACTCATGGCAAATAAGGAAATCATTCCACCAGAAATCACACAAGGTTTCTATCCTAAGGAAAGACATTGGATGTTGGGTGGCAAGAGTAAGGTCCACAGGAACTTATCCCAGGCACTCAACCAACTAAAAGAGATTTGGGGGGAATCCTAAAGGTTGGGCTCCTTCAAGATATGTGCAACATTCCCCCCACAGGAAGGACTATGCTACCCCAAAAAGGTTCCTAAAAAGAAATGAATGAGAGAATATTAGGAGAACGGAGATGAGAAGCAAGGTAAGTTCCACAGGAACTTACCACAGGCACTCAACCAACTTCACTTCCTTAGAGAGAGAGAGCTTTCATAGACTCAACTCCTTTATGATAATGCAATGTATTCCTCCACAGGAGGAAACATGCTCACAAGGAGGATTCCAATCAAGCAAGGAAAATTGAGGAGGAAACTACCCCTATAGGAAGAATCATCCACTTACTTGATCTTCTAAAGAACCTCACAGATTTCCTTCTAAGGATCACCTACACTAAGGATTCAAGGGCTCTAAATGAGGTATCTACCTAATTATCAATCTATCAAGAAAAGAAATGGGACCTAGAATCATCTAATGGTCATTTACAAGACTAATCTATGCACTTAACCTAGTTAGGATCACCTAAACTAAGGCCAATTTGTAAAATGGGGAACTAATATAAAATCATTCTTAAAAATTCCAAGGAAAATACTACATTATCCTACATGTATCAACAAGATATGGTACAAAAACCAGGGGCTACACCTAAATCAAAAGGCTCAAACAAAATCTAAAATCTAAAGGGTACACTAAAGGGATCCAATAATGAATACTCCTAAACAACTATCCCAAAATCCCATTTAGAATCATCTAAAAATCACAACAAAAATAGTACAATATTATTCCATGTGTCAACATTCTTCATACAAAAAATCAGAGGCTAATATGAATTATTGAAAGAGAAATAAAATCATAAAGCTCAGCATACAATTATCCAATTATTAAAAACACACTAAAATGGAAAATATGTAATTAATTGGAAAATACACTAAAACTGAAATAAAAAAATGT